GTGCGGCGTTACGCGGGAGGCCATACCGAAGTGCGGCGTTACGCCGGAGGCCATACCGAAGTGCGGCGTTACGCCGGAGGCCATACCGGGCGCGCGGCGTTACGCGGGAAGCCATGGAAACCCAATGAAGTTCAGGGTTATGCTGGGACACCAAAAAGGGGGGGGGGGAATCACACAGGCTGGCAAAATTGAAGCAGAGCACTGGGCTGAACAATGCGGGACTTTGCCCCTTGATGCGAAATTCTAAAGAAGAGGAAGGGAAGCCACTCGCTGCCCAAACGCAGACGCTAGATACAGGAAGTGAGTCACATGACCTGCCAGGCCTTTCCATTCTCCTGAAACGTTTTTGCCTTGGAGCATCGTGTTACAAGCCAAATGAACTTAAAAGATAAAAAGAGTTCAATGTGGCTATTTTAATAATCCTAATCATACTGTTACCATACTTTAAGGTTTAAGGGTTAGGGGTTAAGGTTTGTTATGGTACAGTGTAGCGCCAAGTATTGTTCTTTTCTTAACAGAATGGCCCATGAGGTTCTAGTTTTTAATTAAAATTTCTTTTTTTTATGCAATCTTCTGGTAGAAACCAATTCTGGTTGCATGCGTAGCCTAGGAAATACGGTACCTCTCGTGTCATATCTGAGCATGGCATAATACAGGGGTGTCAAACTCCAATCCTGGGGGGCTGGAGCCCTGCACAGTTTTTGGTTTAACCTCATTTAACACACCTGATTCAACTCCTTGTGCTAATTACCACACAGCTCTTGAGTAGAATCATTTGTGGTGGAACAGGGAAAGAACTAAGCTACACAGGGCTCCGGCCCTCCAGGACTGCAGTTCGACATCGCTGATATAATATGTATATTTGTAGCGTGTGTAGTTATGTATGGTGATTTTTGTCATATTACAATCTGAGATCAATATAGTTACATCAGAAGGATGTAACTGAAGAAGAAAAAATTGTTTTGTATTCCAATGTCTTATCCGACAAGCTAGCCTGAATCAATGCTTAACATGATTTCAAAATTAAGGCAAAAGAGATCAACGCTAAATTGCATCAAGCATGTAAATGAGACAGATGAGTGAATACGACATTTCTACATTGAGTATTTAAGATTGAAGCCAGTGTTATATTTAATACACATTTGCAGTGTACAGTGTGTCCTATAAACACAGACAGTGCATTAGCATAATGAGACAGTATATTACACTCACCATGCTTCTGGGATACCCCTGCAGGACCACAAAATACTGCAGATGGAAAGTGAGTTTGTAGAAATTACTCTTCCATGAGCGAGGATATTTCCAAGACACTATCAGCCAGTGTTTGTTCCCTTCTTGACTACGCACTGAAACATTATATGGTGCGTCCGGTTTAACTGGGGATGGCCAAGAAGACACAAGACTCAATTTAACAAAAGATACACTGTTTAACGCTGGTCAAAGAATTATGTGATTGCACTACAGCACTATTATTCACCAATGTAGATACTATAGATCTACATTGTATATATTATTATTATATTATTGTTATTATTATTATTCATTTTATTTTCTTATTTAATTTTATTTAATTTATCTTTTATAACACATATCTGTGTTCTTTCCACCAATGCTACACTGTACAATGGCAATAAAGATATTCTATTCTATTCTATTCTATTCGAGATGTGGCCGTTGAAAAAAAGAACTAACGCAGCCATTGGATTGTTCAACATGTCAAGGCAGAATTTTGACGAATTGTTGTCCAGCAATCTAGTCACACGCTCAGTGCGTGGTGTTTTACAGAAGTGAGTATCGTTCATCCTTTATAAGAGTTAGTGACTAATCAGATCATCTGTCTGATCTGGTTCCACACCAAGACAGGTCCAACAAAATCAAGAAAGCCAGATACAGTGGCTGGAGTATTACTGCCGGAGGCAGCCTGCTGCTCACCGATATCTTGTGGATGGAGAACAATCGGGGGGCTTGTAACATGACCAGCAGTGTTGTAGACACACAGTGATGCCCAGTAACTGTCTCTGCTCCCCTCTGTGTTTTTGTCCAACACACACCAGCAGCGATGTTGGAACTTTGAGTAGGTACACGACGTCGTTGTAGTTGGACCCCGCAACCTGTATGGAAAAGTGACAACGACTGCAATGTTTCAGCTGTTAACCACCATGCAGCTATTACGGCTGACCGTGATAATTACCCATGTAGAACTACTGTAAATTATACAACCTGAGTAATAAAAGCTGTCATTTAAATGCCATAGGTTAGTTCTCAACTGGAAACAGTAGAGTAACTGGGCCTCTTTGGCAAAACTCTTGATATACAGACCCTTTTTTCAGCAGGAGGTGACACTGGGGGACTGGGGTCACAGGCTGACTGGCATTCCATTCACAGCGGATGTGACTTGTAGGTGACCTTTGGTAGCAGGATAACGACGGCTGTTCTGGAGGAGCTGTGGAAATGGCAGAGAGGCTGAGAGTGGGCCTCTTCGGGGACACAGCACTGTGCC